GAAGGGAGGAGAGATCTGCTTAACAACAATGGCACAAGGTCTGGCCAGAGCGAGCAGACCACAGCGATCTATCTATCGCTGTAGTCCTCCAGAAGCCTGTTTATTTAAATAAACTGTGCCCCCATTTCTATTCTATTTCAATTAACGCTCACCACACATAATAAGAAAGATACTTGATGGAGACTTCCAACAAGTGCCCCCAGGCTCTCTTAATTACACCATGTCAGCCCAGATCGCCTACGGATGGGGGGAAGGGGAAGGGAGGAGGGATCTGCTTAACAATAATGGCACTCTTTACTTGATGGGGACTTCCAACAAGTGCCCCCAGGGTGTCTCAATTACACCGTGTCAGCCCAGATTGCGTACAGAGCAGTCGAAATGAATAAAGAAAAGAGCACGAATCTAGGCTACTACGCTTTGCTACTGTACCTCCCTTCATTATTGCGGGCGTAGCCGCAACAGGTCCCCTAGTATATGTTATGAAGACAAATAAACTAAACAACATTTGCCTGAGCATTAAATCCAAATTCCGTACCAAATTTGAAATAAAAATAAAATAAAAAAAATAAAACTAATAATAAAAATATGAAAATATGAAAATCGATTTAAAATTAGTGAGTGAGTGAGCACGTTTTCGACACCGCCATCTTTGGCGATTTTTCATTTTCTTTTGGCAAATCCAAATGCCCTGAAAATTTACAGATGTGTACTTCTCCTAATACAAAACTCAGTAAAAAAGTTTCAAAAAATAATAATTTTTTTTAGGCCCCGCAATAAAGTGAAAACAAAAAGTAAAAAGTTAAAAAAAAACAAAATAGTAAGTGGGCGAGCACGTTTTGACACCGCCATCTTTGGCAATTTTTAATTTTTGTTTGGCTAAGCAAAATGACTTCAAAATTTATAGGCATGTAGCTCACATCATAGAGAACTCACAGAAAACAAATCAGAGAACAAAACTTACTTGTAGGTCCCGAAATAAGTTTTGGCGGGGGCCGAACGCCGTCGGGTTCAGGCCCCGAACGGGACCCGGAACGCCCGTACGTATGGAGGCCCCTAAGCTGACCCCTTGGGGCCGGAACGCCCGTCGGGTTCAGGCCCCGAACGACCTGCCGAACGTTCGGCCCCAAGGGGATGCGTTCGGCCGTTTGGGCCGAACGCGGACCTAAAAAAAAAAAAGAAAAAGAAAAAAAAAAGAAGAAAAAAAAAATATATTAAATTTCCAAAAAATCTGAAAAAACTATATGTTATGCAGAAACATAAAACGAACAACGTTTGCCTCAGTGTTACATCCGAATTCCTTACCAAATGTTAAATAGGAATAAAATACGAAAAACAAATAATAATAATAAGAAAAAAAAAAGAGATTTAAAATTAGTGAGTGGGCGAGCACGACACCGCCATCTTTGGCGATTTTTCATTTTTCTTGGGATAGCCAAATGCCCTGAAAATTTACAGATGTGTATTTCACATAATATAAAGCTCATAAAAAAAGTTTCAAAAAATAATAAAATATTTGAGGCACCAAAGTAAAATCAAAACCAAAAGTGAAAGGGGCACGTTTTGACGACGCCATCTTTGGCAATTTTTTTGTTTTTTTTGGCTTGGAAAAACGCATTGAAAATTTATATGCATGTAGCGCATGTCATACAGAACTCACAAAAACACATTCAACAAAAAAATATAATTTTTAGGCCCCGAAATAATTTTTGACGGAGGCTGAACCCCTTCAGGTTCGGACCCCGAACGCCCGAACGTTCGGGTGTCAGCCCGGGGGGTATACACGTATATATTATATACACATATATATTATATATTATATATATATATACATATATACATGTGCAAATGTGCCGCTTCGGTGGCAGACGGGTGTGTGGGCACTTCCTGCTCAACCACACAAACGTGGGGAACCTTGCACCTTCTATTACATTGCCGCCATATACTTTTTTTGGTTCTATGGATGGTTTATGATGATTTGTGGATGGAAATGGGAGATAGAATTGGGGGGAGTTTAGAACACACACACACACACACGAGAGAGAGAGAGAGAGAGAGAGAGAGAGAGAGAGAGAGAGAGAGAGAGAGAGAGAGAGAGAGAGAGAGAGAGAGAGNAGAGAGAGAGAGAGAGAGAGAGAGAGAGAGAGAGAGAGAGAGAGAGAGAGAGAGAGAGAGAGAGAGAGAGAGAGAGAGAGAGAGAGAGAATGGTTGTCCCAATGCCAATGATGCCTCCTTTAAACCCTTGTTATTTTGTTCCAGGCTTCTAGCCACAAACCACCTCACTGTCCTCCACGTTAAAACCCACGGTTACAATCTCACTGGAGCACCCAGCAAATGAGAACAGGACCAGACATCTGCCTGGTAGGAATTTGTGCATTGATTGCATGGACTGTGCACTGGCTGGTTCTGAAATGGAGATTGACAATCGAAATAGACTTGTCTGGAGGAGAAGGCATGGGGGTTGAGACCCCCCGGCGGGGATGGAGGGCGTGACGCCGTGGGTGTTTCGGCAGAGGGTAACAGGAGAGCCAAGTTGATGCCTTATCAAGCTCTTCTGGAGCAAAGTATCGAGGAGAGAAGCGAAGATGTGGCTTTGAATGTCTTCACTTTTTGTTTACAGCTGTGATTCGACTGAGATGTCTTAGAAACGTGGAGGGAGATTCAATTCGATATTTAAGGGTTGAGGGAAGCACAGATTAAT